TTTTGTGTTGGGTTTACCTCGAACTCAACGTGGGGCTGATTCTATTTTTATTTTTATCGACAAATTCTCCAAGATGGCACATTTTATTCCTTGCAGGCAAACTAATGATGCCTCACACATAGCAAAGTTATTCTTCCAGGAGATTGTTTAGTTGCATGGCATTCCTAAAACCATCACATCTGACCAAGACACAAAGTTTCTATCTCACTTTTGGACAACTTTGTGGAAAAGATTCAACACTCAACTTCGCTACAACAGTAATGCTCACCCCCAAACTGATGGACAAACTGAAGTGGTGAATCGGACTCTTGGTAATCTCCTTAGGTGCATCAGTAGTGAGAAGAAGAAGATGTGGGATCTTGCTCTTCCAAGCAGAATTTGCTTACAACAGTGCTATCCATAGCTCCACCAAGATGTCACCTTTTGCAATTGTCTATCGGAAGATACCAGCCCATACTCTTAATCTTCTTTCCCTTCCAATAGGTATAGAGAAGAGTATTGTAGCTAAAAACTTGACTACCAAGCACATGGAGGTATTCAAGTAAGTGCAGTAATTCATCACTGCTGCCAATGAAAAATATAAAGCTGCAGCTGATAAACACCGACGTTATAAATCTTTTACTGTTGGTGATTGGGTTATGGTTTATCTTCACAAGGAGCATGGCGAAGGACAGAAGAAGCTTGATTCCAAAAAGATTGGCCCATTTTAGGTCCTTAAGAAGATTAATTATAATGCTTATGTGCTTGACCTGCCCGAAGATATGAAGATTTCCAGGACTTTCAATGTTGCTGATTTATTACCTTTCTATCCCGATGATGATAACTTAAGGTCGAGTTCTTTTGAAGTGGAGGGGATTGATGCGGAGCAACTAGCACTTCAATACCTGGAAGACTTGGATCGCTGCAAACCCAAGAAAAAGGATCACGACCATGCCATTTCCAGCACGCCCACACTAGCCTCTAGCAGGCCAGGATGCGAGACACACCCAAGGCTAAGAAGTATAAGCACGCCCGTGCCACTTTTTGGTCTACCTGCGCCAGCCTCTGGAAGTCCAGAGCACGCCCATGCCGATAAGTCCAGTTATGACTCGAGCATAAGCACGCCCGTGTCACTCCTAGCATGCTCCGTGCTAGCCTCTAGAAGTCTAGGGCATGCCATGCCATGTCTAGCATGCCCGTGCTGTCGACCTTTCTAGGGTTTTGTCTAGTTATGACTTTGTTTTATTTTTAGGGTTTTTTTTTTATGTTTTAGCCTAAACTTATAGATAGGTTATTTTGTTATTATGAAGAGGACACTATTCATTGATCATTATTCATATTCAACAAACTTCCTTGAGAGCTTAGTTCTCTAATTCTTTCATCAAATCAAACGTCATTGATCAAAACTCCTGATGAAGTATAATCGTTATTCCTACTCACGTGACCGTTCTGCATCATATGTCCATTGAAATTTTTTCTAGGATTAGAGGTGGCTCGCTCTCAAATGTTATTACTCTCACTCAGCATAAACATGCATTGGACATCTTGTCTGATTTTGGTTTTCTTACTGCAAGATCGACAAAAACTCCAATGGATTCTAAATGCGAACTTAGCTCGATACATGGTGAACTTTTATCTAATATTTCTGCATATAGAAGGTTGGTTGGGCATTTGCTTTATCTCACATCTACCAGGCCTGACATTTCATTTATTCTCCAGCAATTAAGTCAGTTTCTTGATAAGCCTACATCTCTTCATTTATAATTAATTCATCGTGGTCTTCGCTATATCAAGGTTGTTCCAGGAGCTGGTTTATTTTTTCCTGCTTCTTCTTTCCAGCTTAAAGCCTTTAGCGACTCTGATTGGGCTGGTTGCTTGGATACCCGTAAATCCATTACTCAATATTATGTGTATATTGGAGATTTTTTTTTGATTAGCTGGAAAGCTAAAAAGTAATCGACGATTTCACGTTCTTCCTCCGAGGCTGAATATAGAGCCCTTGTTTCAACAACATGTGAAATCCAATGGCTTCATTTTCTCTTAACGGTTTTCACATTTCTCACACCTAACCAACACTACTTTTCTAAAATAATAAATCTGCTCTACAAATTGCCGCCAATCCGACATATCATGAACGTACCAAACACATCAAAATCGATTGTCATTTGGTATGTGAGAAGGTTTAGCTTGGCTTAATAAAACTTCTTCATGTTTCTTCTACTTCTCAAAACGCAGATATTTTCACCAAACCTCTCCTTGTTGCTTCGTTCGTGCCATTTTAATCAAGTTGGGAATGGTGAATATATATTCTCCAGCTTGCGAGGGTGGGGGGGGGGGGGCGAGGGTGGGGTGGGGGGGGGGGGGCGGGTATTGGAGGCGGGTATTGGATCATCCAGAAGATTCCAAAAACTTAGAAGAAGAAAAATCCAACGCTAATGAAATAACATAGCTTAGCTGGTTTTCTGTTGTAACAAGTTATAATGCTTTGCTTAGTTGGCAAATTTGTTACTAGCTAGATATTTATAATCTAAAGTGTATATTAAACATATGGTAACTTTCTTTTTCGATTATTCAATGAGACATTTTCATTACTTTTCTACAATTTCACAAAATATGCAATTAACATAAAGGATTTTTTTTTTGGTTGGTGAGAGATGAGAATCAACTGAAATCAAACCAACTTATGGATTTTGTTTTTGTTTCCGATTTCTTGTTTTTTATCTTTTGATGATTCATCAAAGGAATTAGGTAAGTGGAGAGAGAGTGGGAAGGAGGAGAAGGCAAAAAAAGAAAAAAATAATGAAATTCAGGTTGTAGAACCCACTTATTTTTAATTCTAAACCTTAACCTTAAATTGGTTTTAGGGTGCAATTGCTACTAAATATGAAAATTAGGGTATTCATAACAAAAGCTAAATTAGAGTAAAACTGTAACTACTCACAAAGTTCAGAGTGAAATTAATGATTAAATCGTTATTTGAGTCTGGGACCTAACTATGTAAATATTATATAAACATAAGGTACTTTAAATATTATATAGACTGATATCATTATACATTTAGAATATCTCTTACATGATATGCACACCTAGAATTTTTAAAAATAGGGAGTGAATCTACTATAAATGAACACATGAATCTATACAAAAACAACATAAATTATTTAACTGCATTCAAGTCACTTTCTATCTCCTTATTTTCCAACCTCTAGTTTTTTATATTTCTCTCATGTTTCTCACACATTTGCCTTTCTCCTCCTAAACTCTTCTTATTCTCATCTCTTCTTTCAAACTAAATAGGTCTCGACCCATTTGCCCACTTATCCTAAGAAACTTTTGATTAGACTTGAATCAGCGGTTCAAAATTTTTAAAATATTAAACCTGGACTAGCCCTTGAACTGCCGGCTGCGGTCCGTTTTTGGTTCCGGCTAGTTTTAGTGAGGTTCCGATCACGATTTCTGGCAATATATATTTTTTTTTCAAAAATAAAAATCAGTTAATGTTACATATTTCTTTTGAAAATATAAATATGAATTTAAAAAATACTAGCAAATTTTATTTTAAATAAATTTTAGAATGCTCATATTCATATAAGAATAAAATTAATTAATTTTACAAAATAACCAAATAAATTATCACTTTATTATTTTGTCCTAAATGTTATTTAATTAAATAAATCTATTAGAAAAATTTGAAACTTGCTTCAAAAGAATGTAATTTTTGAACTTAATAACATTGAAAAGAAAAAAAAAAGTTAAAAACAATATGTTAGGCCTATAATATTTCTTTTTTTTTTTTTAAACCGTTTTACATTTTTAGATTTTAACTTTTAAAAAAAAAAAAAAAAAATCTTAAGTATATCATATAGTAAAATATTATTGAAATTTTTAGAGGTGTATAGAATAGTCTAAGTGATTATCATTTTGAAAATAAAAAAAAAAAATTTTCAATTCAAATCGGGCTGGAACCGCCGATTTCGGGCCAAATCAAATTCAGATTTTAACATTCACATGAACCTTAACCGACCCTTGAACCGTCGGTTGAACTGACGATTTTAGCCGATTTCAATTCATTTACAGTATGGTTTGATTCCAATTCGATTCTGATTCAAAATGAACCGTTGTCCGTGCCTACTCTTTATGGACATGTGCCAAATAGATCCAAAACCATTTTTTGGACCAAACGGATACAACGGTCCATAAAATAATCTTTAAAAGAAATGACAATGCTGCATTTTTAAGCAAAGTTTTACAAAACTACTAATCAAGTATCATTCTTACTTGACCCGATGAGTTGTGATTCTTCATAAAGGCATGAAATAATTAGATATACTTTGTGTACTTGTGTAATATATATATATATATAATATATATATATATATAATATATATATATATATATATATATATATATATATATATTTTAGGAATTATATATTTTTTTCATAATGATATAAATGTGAATTTAAATGATAAGGAATAATATTGAACTTTCTTTTTGAATTTCTCCGCAATATATAATTTATTTAAAATTGAATTCTTGGATTGATTCTAATAGGAATTTCCAAGTAAACAATTTGGCTGAAATTTAATCAATTTTTATTCAATAACTTGATAAGGGTTTCAATTGATCATATTTTAATCTAAAAATGGGCTTCAATTGATCATGTGGTTGATTTGTTTTGTTAAAATCAATATGAAAGTTCAATTTTAAATAGATTGTATTATCAACAAATTTAAAGGCAAATTGAGGTCATCATCATCATTATTATTATTATAATCATCATCATTATTATTAAAACAAAAAAAATAAAGATGGGAGCACATCCCCTTACGGACTTGAGGTCACGCATGCATGATTAGGCTTAGGGCAATGGCTTATGAACAACTGTGGCATAAACCAAAAGGGAAAAAGAAAAAAAAAAAAAAAAAAAAAAAAAAGACACCCACTTTTCTAAAAATCAAATATAACTTAATTTATTAACACATATTATCCAAACTTAAACACATACATATAATGTTTTGAAAAAAAAAAAAACATTCATATAATTAATTTTATTCCCAAAGTCTCACCATATATATTACTCACATAACATACAACAATAAATACATTGCATAGGACACACGAAAAGCCCTGAAAATAGAAAACCAACATTCGAATCTTAGGCTAAACCCAACTCTTGAAAAGCTGAATTAACACGAAAATACTTTACTTATTTCTTGGAATAGCCACAGCACAGAGAGGGTTCTTCATTTCACAAGAAAGTCTTAAAACTTCACTTAGGTCAACTGGGTTGGCCATGTCTTGAACCCATTCAAAATGATGCACCAACTTAGCCACCCAAAGGTTAACCGTGGCGAGCCCCAAGTTCTTGCCAGGACAAACCCTACGACCAGCCCCAAATGGTGCAAGCCTAAGATCACCACCTCTAACATCCACGTCAGCACCACCTAGACTCTCCATAAACCTTTCAGGCTTAAACACCATTGGATCTTCCCATATTTTTGGGTCATGGGTTATGGCCCACATGTTGACCATTGTAGTTGTGTTCTTGGGGACCACCATGCCATTGCTGAGGTGTACATCTGATGTTGATAACCGCGCCCAAGATAGTAGGGGCCCCGGTGGATGCATACGTAGGGTTTCCTTGACTACAGCTTGAAGGTAGGGTAATTTTGATATTACAGCATCAGTTACAGTGCTCTTGTCTCCTACAACCAAATCAACTTCATTTCTTAGCGTGGCTTGAATTTGAGGGTTTAAAACCAACTCTGCCATGATCCACTCGGTAAGAAGTGCAGTTGTATCAGTTCCACGAAAAATCATTTCCTGCAAAAGTTCAACTTAACCCTTACACTTAATCTCCTAATATAAATGGTTAATGTACTAAAAATAAAAATAAAAATGCAACAGGAGAACTGCATTTAATTAATTAGATATAATACGAACCCAAAGAACGGCCACCATATCATCTTCTTGGAGTTTCTCATCTCCATCCAAAGAAAGCAAGACATCAACAAAATCAGAGTTATCAAGAAGCTCTTTAGGTTTTTTACTCTGATCATAATGTTCTTCAATAATCTGCTTTACTAGTTTATTGACTTTAGGAACAAGAACAGAGCAACGTTCTTTAACATGAACGGGATCATAAAAATGGTTAAGCCAGGGAAGATAATCAGACCAATTAAAAGCACCCAAAAGCTCAAACCCTTCGCTAACAAGCTCATGCAATTCTTTAGTCTCTTCACTAAATTGCATAAGATCATATCTTTTTCCAAAAACAGATCCCATTATATTATTAAGAGAAGCATTTTGCAGATGTTTACGTAAGGAAACAACTCCACGTAAAGACTGCTCTTTTTGAACCAGACGCAACATAATATCACAAGCTTGTTTGCGCCAAGGCTCATGAGCCAAAATACGCTTCGGCGAAAACAAATGAACAGATGATATTCTTCTTAGCAGACGCCAATAAGCCCCGTTCGGGGCGAACCCAATGGCTCGACTAAACATGAGGCTTTTAGCAGATTGCTTGATGGGTCTATTAGCAAAATTAGTAGAGGTTAAAATTTCACGAGCAATATGAGGATCTGAAGTTACAACAGCAGGAGTTGAACCTATACTAAAAGCCATGAGCTGTTTGGCGGATAAAGCTGAAGCCATGCGAGAAAGCGTACGATGAGGTAACCCATGGCTTAAACTTAATAAACTTCCAAACCAGGGTAGGCCTCGAGGACCTGGAATTGAGATAATACCCATTTGGTTTCTACAATTTCTCCAGGCAAGGCCGCCATTGGAGAAAAACCAAGTTGAAGAGGTAATAACAAGAAAAGAGATTAAGACAAAGAACAAGAACATAGGATTTAAGAGGTTATGGGTTTGCAAAGTAGCTGGAAGGGTAAAAACCCACCAACTTGAGTCCAAAGAAGCTGATGACAAATCCATATAGAGAGAGATAGAGAAAGAAATTATGGAGTGGTGGGTACAAAGAAGAGAAAGTAGAGGTTGGTCTTAAAGAGGAAGGGGAAGGGAAGGGGTTTATATATAGTGGCGGAGAATGGCAAAAGTGTAATAAAATGAAGTTTATGGGTTTCTATGGAAATTGCGTATTAAATGGGGATATAATTACTTTTTCTTCTTTTATTAATCGTTAGTTAGTATGGCCAGTCAAAGTTAATCAGTGAGACTGAGACCTACTTAGTTTTATGGCAATTTTACAAAATGAGTAAAAAAAAAAAAGAAAATTTATGTAAATTAAAAGTATTTAACAAAAGGGTGCCACAGTGATACTGTAAATTGTCAGTAAATTAATTTAGTCAAATGGTAGTAAATGTCACTTTTGAAATTTATTTTTATAATATGTTAGTTTGACTTTAAGATTTAAATTATAGTCAATTTGTGATATATTTCTACTATTGTCCACTTTTTCTTATTGGCAGAGCATTAATTTATGAATATTTCAGTATTTTAATATATTAGTGTTTCCTTTTATATTAATTTCCTATTTTAGTGTTTTAATATTTTAGTGTTTCTTTTTATATTAATTTCCTATTTTCACCATTATTTTCTTTTTTTAGTATGAAAAATAATCTACTGTCGTTTTTTCAGCTCTTAATATTTTTGGATGGTTCTTTCTCCTTTTGTTGCCGTCTATTGTTTTCTTATTGTTTTTTCTCCTTTTGCTGTCTTTCTTCTCATTATTGTTGTTGTTTCATATTTTCGTTTTCTATTCATAAGTTATGTTGATTTCTATTTTTGATCTGTTGTTTATTGTTGATTAATATCTTTATCAATTTTTTATACAATCAATAACTACTGTAGAGATAAAGTAGGGCTCTTGATTTTGTTTGGATTGATACAATACAGTATATATATATAAATATACACTGTATTTACTTGGTTTGATCCAATGTGTTAATTGATGTATATATATCTATTATGTATTTAGTTGATTTTACAGTATTTACTGATACAATATATATATACCGTATTTATTTAGTTTGATCCAATGTGTTACTTGGTGTATATATAGCTATCATGTATTTAATCTATTTTACAGTATTTACTGATACAGTATATATATACATCGTATATACCATGTATATCATATTTACCTTGCTGTTGTTGCAGTCGCCGGTCATCAGTAGCATTACTGATCATCATTGTCGTAGTTAAATTACATAAATTGTATAGAGATTTGTTCTTACAAATTTCGTGTTTCATTGTGTTTCCTTTTTTTATTATTTTTTTCAGTATTTCCTTTAGTTCCCGGTGTTCTCTTTTTCTCGGTGTTCCTTTTTTTTCGATAATTCTTTTTTTTTTCAATGTTTCCTATTTTAAGTGTTTCTAGCGTTTTCTTTTTTTTAGTGTTTCTCGTTTCTCTTACAAGGTCAGTTTTGGTATTGCTGAATTATTTTGACTGAATTTATTACTATCTTAATATGTATTCTTTTATGACACTCAGTTAAAAGTGGAACATTAAATATGATATTTGCTTAAAAGCTCCATTAATTTATTTCACTTACAAGTATAGAGAGACCTAATGGATTGAAATAATATTGAGGTCTCGAACTCGAAAACTCTCATTTCCTACATCTTCTATAAAAAGTAAAAAGACTAAACAGACTATATTTAACTGGGAAATTTTGAGCGAATATGAAGTCTTCTCTCATCATTGGAATAATAAAAACGCAGAAGAAACCACCGATCCAAATTACATGAGTGGTGGTGTTTTTAGTAATTTTTTTTTTAGTTTTTATTGTTATTATAAATCGAAACAGTGAATTTATTCAAGAAACCACCAATGGGAGTGACAATTTCTTGAACAAAATTTTTAAATTTTTTTATTATTAGAAATTGAAATGGTGATAATGCTTAAGAAACTATAAATGAGCATGGTGGTTTCTTGAGCAAATTTATTTAATCTTTTTATTATTAGAAATTAAAATAATATATATATAGAAAATATTAAGATCCAACTCAATATCCAATCTATTAGGGTGTTTTTTTATAAGATTAATATATTCTCATTTGTACTTCTTTTCACAGCAACATTTTATCATATTTTGATTTTTCAGGGAAAAAATTAATCATTGGCTCTATGTTTTGTTTTGAATTTAATAAATGAAATCCTAATATTATTTAAAAAAAAGAACAAAATAATAATTAACAACTATTATTACTTTGTACTTGGATTACCTAGGACTAAGCATGGTAAAGATAGCATATTTGTTGTTGTTGATAGGTTTAGCAAGATGGCTCATTTTATTCCTTGTCATAAAACTGATGATGCCATTAATATCGCTGATCTATTCTAATACGTCCCTAGCCAATTAACAAGTACTCTTGCAAATCAACAAGGAAGATCTAGCGAAAAGCATGCAATCACGGAAGTACCCGACAATCCCTATAACCCCCAAGTACTCTTGAAGAGAGAAAGCAAGGAATTTAGGACAAGAATCAGAAACTTACCTTCAAGTACTCTTGAAAACAACTCTGAAATTCTTGGTGCAATTAATCTTGTAGAACTCACAAGCTTAACTACTAAGGAACTAAGGATATTTTGTTCTATGAAGAACACAATCTGTTCTTGAAAGACAAAGAAGAAAACGTTTAATCTCGATTATTGGTGTTTCCGTTTCATTATAAACGAGGGGTGCCATAGAGGCGAACTTACATCTCATCCTTTGATTCGATCCGTATCAAAGCTTATCCCTAATGTGGCCCAAATGGGCTTAATTAAATACAAGTCCAAGCTAACTACTTAAAACAATCCTAACTTAAACATTAACTAACTTAGCATTAACTAATCTTGGGCTGGCCCAACTCTGGAAAATAAACCCAACCAGCCTTACACTAATTAATTAAGTCCACTAAAAGAATTTAAACAAAATAGGACACATGGGCCAGAAGCCCTACACAGCCCATACTTAAGCTCATAATAAAATAACATCCTCCTAAATTTGCCTAAGTATAGAATCATGTAGAATGCATCAACGAGCAGCCTCTTTGCACGCCTCAAGCATCATAACAAGCTTTGGTGCTTCTTCAAGTTCAATCTCACGCCTCAAGCACCATAATAAACTTTGGTGCTTCTTCAAGTTCAATCTCACATCTTGCATAGCTATGATCTTGAAGCTCCAATGTGACTTGTTCTTGAACAAATGGATTCAAGGCTGCTTGTAACTTGGTTGCACGAGCTCTTGTGATTAGCCCGGTAGGTAGAGCTAGAGGATCCTTCATCTTGCTCCCTTGATCCGTATCATTCCCTCTCTCCTCAAAAAGATTTGTCCTCAAATCTGAATCATAGACAAATGGAGAAAGGTCAGAAACATTAAAGGTAGTAGACACACCATACTTACCTAGTAGATCAATCATGTAGGCATTATCATTGATCCTCTCCAACACTTGAAAAGGCCCATTACCTCGGGCAGCAAGCTTTCCCTTCCTTTGGTATGGGAATCTTTCCTTCCTCTTGTCCACCCAAACCCAATCTCCAGGTTAAAATACCACATGCCTCCTTCCCTTGTTGGTAAGGTCAGCATAGCTTTTGTTCTTCATGTCTATATGAGCCCTGGCCTGAGCATGTATCTCCCTGACTAATTTAGCCTTCTTTTCACCATCCAAGTTAGCAATTTCACTCAAAGGCAAAGGGGACAAATCAAGCACAATTAAAGGATTAAAACCATACACAAACTCAAATGGACTATAAACACTAGAAGAATGTATAGACCTATTATAAGCAAATTCAATAAAAGGTAAACAATCCTCCTAGTTTTTTAGATTCTTACCCACCACCGCTCTAAGCAAAGTACCTAGAGTTCTATTGACTACATCAGTCTGGCCATCCGTCTGGGGATGACAGGTAGTGGAGTACAGCAACTTTGTACCACGCTTACTCCATAGAACACGCCAAAAATGAGAAAGGAACTTAGCATCATGATTTGAGACAATGGTGCGTGGCACGCCATGCAATCTCACAACCTCCTTGAAAAATAACTCAGCTACATGGACAGCAGCATCGCTCTTATGGCATGAAATGAAATGTGCCATCTTATTAAATCTGTCCACAACAATAAAAATACTATCCCGACCACGCTTTGTCCTGGGCAATCCAAGCACAAAATCCATAGAAATATCAGTCCAAGGAAAGTAGGTACAGGTAAAGGCATATAAAGGTCATGAGGCATAGATTTAGACTTAGCTTGCTTACATGCTATGCACACACCACACAGTTTCTCTACATCTCTACCCACATGTGGCCAAAAGAAATGTTCAGCAAGTATATCATATGTCTTAAGAACCCCAAAGTGCCCCATAAGTCCCCCACAATGTGATTCTAACACAAGCAATTCACACATAGAACATTTGGGTATACAAAGTTTATTGCCCTTAAATAAAAACCCCTCATGCCTAAAGAACTTATTAAAGGCCCCATGTTCACATGCACTCCAAATAAGACCGAAGTCATCATCATCAACATATAAGGATTTTATATGCTCAAATCCTAACAACTTAGCATTAAGAGTAGTAATTAAAGCATACATCCTAGAAAGTGCATCAACCATAATATTTTCTTTCCCTTGCTTGTATTTAATCACAAAAGGAAAACTGTTCAATGAATTCAACCCACTTACCATGTCTCTTGTTCAACTTACCTTGTCCCTTGAGGTGCTTTAAAGACTCATGGTCAGTGTGTATTTATGACAAAATTCTTTGGGTAGAAGGTAATGTTGCCATACCTCCAATGCTCCTCACTAGAGCATATCAGCCTCTTTGTCATAGTTGAATAATTGAGTTGGCGCTCCATGAGTTTCTCACTGAAATAGGCATAGGCTTTCTCTCTTGCATCAACCTGCACCAATACCTGCACCAATACCTACACCAGAAGCCGTCACACCAATCTGCTCAAATGTCTAGTCAAAGTAGGTAATACCGACTAAAATGAGCAGAACAAAGAAGGATTTTAAAGACTCAAATGCCCTTTACTTTG